ATATATATACATAAAAAACAYAAATASTTTTTTAATTCTTCGATATTTATAGTCAGCTATTAAAACACACCGATATTGACGTATCAAGGAGAAAAACATTACACCAAAAGTTAGCTAAGATTAAGTTCTCCTTAACTCCTAAAACCTTACTTACCAACATTTTCAATTAGTACAGGATTGCCATATGTTACGGAAAGTTCAAGTATTTGCATGTAATTGGGATCGCTTTGCTTGATTACGCGCAGATAATTATCCTTTTCCATATTCTTAATCCATTTGTTGGCTTGGACTGGAATAACATAAAATATGAATGGATGGTGATATAAAAGAAAATAATTATGTTAGATACAAAAATCTGAAACTTCGTTTTCGTGTTAATGAAAATTATACCGATTGAGAAGATATAAAAAATTATGTCCTCTTAATTATTTTGAAATTCCCATTAATGTRTACGAAACTTGGTTAATGTTATTAAATTTTTCGCATTTTTACTTCAAGTGATAGCTAAACAGATTGTATGACAGCTATATGCTTTAGCGATTGACATGGCTAAATTGAATTAGCTAGTCACGCTGATCAGATATTAGATTAGAAATATAATTTAGAGCGTCTCCGACATATCCTTCTGGGTTTTATAAACTTCTTGATAAACYTAATATATACACGGTTTTGTAAAAATTGTATAAATAAACCACTGAGTCGCTTGTGCCAAAGTCTCCATATAGAACTATYTACACTTGTTATAGTTCTAAAAATCAATAAATCCCTTTTGTCTGCACTGACAATTATATTTAATTTTTCTCCCAGACATTTCCTTATAGATTCATAGACATGAATATTACAATACCCCACACTTTTGTAAAAAATTGAGATTAACAATCATAACCCTASAAGTGTATTCCATTCAGTTATTTATCGYAYATTTGGATATCTGAACAATCGTAGAAACCTGCCAACCGATTATTCATAATATCGACTTTTCATTCATRTGAAGATATTCAAAAAGTTTCCACCTTAAATTCATCAAAACAGAGATTGCAATTACTACCTATAAATACAGAATAATTGCGCATAATCATCTCACAAAAGTATAAATACAAAAAACTAAAAGTGCAAACAACTTCAATTAGAAGCAGCAAATCAATAGAAATCACCTTGTGGGTCTATCATTAGCGGATATCGATTCGAGTTGGCCACAATAATGCCATTCTCTACAGAAAAGTTATCAGCCGGCAGACCGGCTAATGACCAGGCGCGTATCTGCATGGGATTTCCCAGTGTGCTGGCCAGCGAGAACTTCTCCGAACAAGGAATTTGTTTGCGCACACACAACGCATTCCAATCCTCCAAAATTTGCGCCCGATACTGTAATGAAAAAACATAGATTAGCTTCAAACACGCACATATACATACACATAGTAATATTTTATTAATTTGCAAATGATACTGTTGTGMAAAATATTTTTCAACACAATACAAAGCTTCAATCAGACAGTAATTTATGGATTCGCGGAAATATGAAAGGTTTGCAATGGCGCCGACTTCACATTTGTTTTGTCCTGGTGGGTGGTAATTACAGCGCGTCAAATGCATATGAATTCCGCTTTAAACCACTAACGGTCTGCCGCATTTCTGTAAGGCTATGCCTGTCCATTTGGCGTGTCTATGGTTTGGCTCTGCTAATCAGCGGATTTATTTGGTGCTTTGCCGTTTCATTTGCTATTTTCGTATTTTGATGCCAAAACTATTTTTGCCTAATGTTTTATGCCGACCTGGACTTATCTGAGATCTATAGTTGTGTGCGTTTAATTAGCAGCATATAGGTATGGGCCAACCCGAAATGAATAGAAAGAAAGGGATAATCTTTTTGTGCATTCAGCAGAATCAACACAATTCTGTGTTTTGAGAAATTGCATAACAGTTTTGAATTGTTGTCATGTAATATATCAACCGATCAAATTTGACCCGGACTAGTTCATATTAACTGTGGACGCAAACCAAATCGATACAGAGGTTTTGCTTATATTGGTACCCATTTCTTTGCTYGTGTGAAGTTTTATCTCCATAAGTCAATTAGTCTTTGTTCGTCGTGTTGGAATTAGAGAAATAGAAGAGGATCGAAAATCTCGATTGAGTAGTTTCGTAAAAGAATTTTGTTATAATTTTGGGTGTGCAGCACGTCAATGTTAGATTTGTTCTAAAGGGTCTGAATTTTTGTAAAAGCAACGTCGGTAGAGGTCGATAAGGAGATTTATTATGACAATTTAACTGAGGTCATTATATTCATCAAATGCATCATTATAGTGGGTTTATGAAAGTGTTCGACGTGAAAATGTGAAACAATCTAGCGAATGAAACCGGAAAAAAAATAAAATTGGGAAATCTCCTTTTATAGCAAGTGTTGGCAAGTTAGTTTTGGTTCAGAAGCCTATTTTGACAGTGATAATACGTCAGACCGTGTGACATTTGATCAAAAGGTACTTTCAATCTCTTTTGTGAATCTATTGGCTTACTTTAGATCTAGGTCTTGAGACAAAACAACGGCTTCGGACCAAAATATTTGCTATTTRTGCACTTTCGGTAATATTCTGGTGATAATTTAAACATGTTTTCAAAAAAAATTYTTCTGAAATAAAATAGTAAAACTACCAAAAAACTATCGGAGTACATATATTTCAAGAATATTGCTCGGAACTGTACGAGGCCATCAATACATACAGCTAGACATTTTATAGTGAATTTTTAGTTAAAAACGAAAGGTATATTTATTGCATTACATAAGTAACAAATATGCATTCCTGTTTTAACCCGTTTGTGACCGGTAGGAATTGCTGTGATGGATATACAGGAATTTAAATTTTGATAATCAAAGGTTTGAATTTARTGTAAAACAGAATAGAATTTACACATACGGAATATTTTGTTTATAGCTAACTTGATAGACCATATAACTTAAAAAATAATTTTAAATTTACCTTTTGTAATGGCGCATATTTGAAGACTTTCTTTTGAAAAGTATAAATTTCTAACAGGTATCTATATGTATAGTATATAAGTATGTGTGTCTATATGCATTACATCACGCATAATAACAGTTCATTGAGTATGCGCTGCTTTTATAATGCGACTGTCACTCACGGTTAACCGGTTAACCAGTAAAATCAACATAATTTCCCCAATTTTAGCTTAAACAGTGCAAATATTTCACTAATTACACAAGCATTCTTCAGCTAATTGAATTAAATATTCTACGTTTGGAAAATAGTTAATATAATATAATATAATAATATAATATAATTTGCCGTATGTACATATCAATGATTGTTGTGAGCACTTTATCAGAAAATTATAATGATTTCCGGTGTGGTTGTCAAGCTAAATATAATATATATGCCAGAGGGAAGGAGGAGGTGCAGTGCGGGTAGCGTAGTATGTAAATAAAACTTATTTGWTCAAATTTGTGAGCATATTTTTATATTTTAAGGGGATATTCTAGTCTACAATTTTGAAAAAAAAAACCGATTTTTTTTGCATATTCTTAAAGACTGGACCTTTAAGAATATATTAGCCAAAGGAATTTTTAAAATTCCTATTATTTACCGAATTATAGCTTTTTTAGTGACGCAGCGTGCAAACCGGCTCTAAAAATAATGAGTATCATGGGAATCACTATTGGTCCAGAAGCCTATGCATTCGCTGACAAACGGGACAAGATACGAATACGTCGCTTTGAAGGACGAGCTTTTGAAGCTTCTAAGGAAGCTGCAACAGCTCGTTTAGCCGAAAGAAATGCTGAAAATATGTTTGAAGAAGAAAAAGGTCCCATGTACGAAGCAGGAATGGCCGATTAACAAAATGTAAGTATAGACTACCTGCAGTTAGACTCAAATCTTTAATCGCGTTTTTTTCGAAGAAGGGCAATTTGTTGAATTTTTATTCATATCATATTTCATTCATACATA